CCCCAAAACCCCAAAACCCCATGCAACTGAATATTTAGGATTATGAAATAAATGGATTGTTATTAAAATTAATTCCAGTAAATTTCATTTCTTTGCAAGGATAAGTTTGATTTTTCCAAGTTCATCTTTTAGTTCCTTGTTCTCTTTAACTAAGTCTTCAAACTCCTCCATCTGCATCTTCAAAATTCTTCTTTTCTCATCTTCCAATTTTTATCTGTAAATGCTCTCTATTTTTTCCTTATGTTTCATTAAGTCTTTTTTCATTTCTACTCCTTAAACTTTATCAAAGTCATTTTTCCTCAATTTCAATTTTAATTCAAATTCTTTGATTTACATTCTGAGTTCTTTGATTTCTTTGCTTTGCTCATCAAGTTGCTTTTTTACTATAGACGGACAGTTATTCCATGCCATTAATGTAGCTGAAACATAATCTTTTGTTTTGATATTATCCTTTATTTAAGTCAAGGTCTAAACATTTTATTTTTTAGGCTGGATATTTTTATTTGAAAATTTTTTTGATGAAAAAGAGGACGAATCTAAGTCATTTTAAGTATCATTTTATTCTGATTATTCCTGCTGATAATTACTCTACAACTTATCATTTTCATCAGAACTCTAGCTCTAATTTATCTCATCTTCCTTTCTCATTGCTATCTCAATCTATCTTTACATGTCCATATCATACCTATTTTACTCAATTTCAGATTCCAATTGTTGAATCTTTAATTCTTGTTTCTTAATCAATTTTTGAGCTTTTTCATACTCATCTCTGAATTTATTGCTCTCGATAGTTTATGATAACTTAAGCTTAAGCTAGTTATTTTCATCCTTCTATGCGTCCATTCCCTCTTCCAATTTCTTAATTAAATTCTTGAGTTCTGTGTTTTTTAGCCTATACTTACTTTCTGCGTTAGTGGGATCTTGATCTTTATTGAATTTTTCTTTAGCTTCGTAAAACTTATTTTTAGCATAATATGCTCTCTTTTTATATTATTCTTAAGATGCCTTGAGAATTTTATTAGACTCTTTTTCTTAATGGAGTTCTTTTTTCAAAGAATTTAATTCTGCTTTAAGCTTTTCAAGATCATATGGTTCCATTAAATTTGGATCAAAAGTATTTTAGTTCTTTGATGTTTTCTACTAATTAGCACCACTTTTCTTAAGTTTTACTATCTCAGCTTTTAGCAATTTAATCTCATCTTTTTGTATATTATTTTCTTATTTCAACTAATTCAAATCAAATAAAATATCTTCTTGATCTTTTAGCTTAATGTTTTCAGGGAGTTGATTTACTTTGTATTTTTTTATATTGACGAAATTTTCATCTGAAAATTAAGAGAATTAACTCATCTCCATAGCTGAAGTTAAATCTTTAGCAATCTTTTGCTTTTGTAAATCGACAACTTAGTCTTATTGCTTAGTTTGAATAGACCTTAAAAACTAATCTGCCTCCATTCTCTTTCTCTCTGTTTCTGATTAGCCTCTTGTTCTAGACTTTGAACTAGACTTTTTCTTAATCCTTTTCTTTTATAATATTTACGAAGTTTCATGCTCATCCTTGTGTTCAAAAATAGTTTCCATTGGTAAAGCTGACTATTAGTAATACTCTTAATCATAACCATAACTTTCTTAAGCAGAATTGAATTGTATAGGTGTCTTATCTACCTGATCATCCTCTAAAGGTATATCCCTATTTTAATCTTAGAACTTCTATTAATCCTCAATTTAAATCTATTACTAACCTTTTTGATTCAACAGGAAATTTTCTTGGTAGTTTTGATTTTAGAAGTAGTTTTATGGAATCTAGTTTAAATCAGATTGTGTTTTAAGTTCCGACTCTGAAAATCAATTTTAAAAAGATTGGCTATATGTGTAAGTAGAATTGGTATAATCAGATCCTTGGATGTTCTTTTACGACTCATTTTGAACTTCTACTTAATTATTCTATTGTGATGGATATGGATAGTAAAATTATGGATGAGGAATCATATTCACCTATGGGAATTGCCCTTAAATAATTCCTTGAGGTGGAGGACCGTAATAGTAGGGCTGCATAAATTGATTATGCGGCGGGTTATATCCCATTACAAAAGGAGGTGGAACTTAGCTTAGATTTTTATTTTGTGTCTGATTTTCCTCTTATCGATATGAATTTTACATTTTAAACTTTATAATTTTAGCAAAAATATTTTAAACTTCATCATAAATTTTATTAAATAAACGTAAACTGGGGTTTTGGGGTTTTGGGG